CATGGACTAATAATACATGGCCTCATGCATTAGTCTGTTCTCAGGCTGCTATAAAGAACTGCCTGAGACTGGGTAATTTATAAAGGAAAGTGGTTTAACTGACTCACAGTTCAGTATGTCTGGGGAGGCTTCAGAACACTTAAAATCATGGCAGAAGGGAAAGCAAACACATCCTTCTACACATGGCGGCAGGGAGAAGAAGAATGAGAGCTGAGTGAAGGGGAAAGCTTCCTATAAAACCATCAGGTCTCATGAGAACTCACTATCATGAGAATAGCATCTGGGAAGCTGCCCCCATGATTCAATCACTTCCCACTGGGTCTTTCCCATTACTTGTGGGGATTATGGGAACTACAATTCAAGATGAGATTTGGGTGGGGACACAGCCAAACCATATCACCTCACATACTGCTGTACCCCTTGGTCAAGAGTGGACTATCAGAGCAAGTCTGGCAGACTTTCTAATGCTGGGTCATTAGAAAAATAATTTCCTGGAGTAGGAAACCACTGCTGCATCTCTTTATTATTTCCTTGGAGAGAAACATTATTTCACAGGAAGACAACAGATAAATGCTGGATGGTTGCTTCCCCTGCTCTTAGCTGTATATCGCAAATGTCCTATTATCAAAGATGCTCGCTCCAGCTAAATATAGCCAAGGTATTGAGTCCAAGAGCAGGGGATGCCAATCTTTACCACTCTTGGTATCACTTTCAAGTGTAAAGAGGCTCAGTGCCCTTTAGCAACTAGAGACCAGGATTCAGTTTTCTCTGTTTTGAAACTGAACTACCTTTTGGCCAGAAAGAATGAAGTTATTTAAAACCTCAGCATTACTAATGCAGGAAGGGATCACAAAGAGTATTTGGTCCACCTTCTCCATTTGACAGATGAGGAAGCAAAGGCCAGGAGAGATACAGGGTGATCATCCCTAATCAGAAAATCTGAAATTCAAATCACTCCAAAATCCAAAACTATTTGAGTGCTGCCATGATGCCATAAGTGGAAAATTACACACCTAACCCCACGTGATGGGTTGCAGTCCAAACACAGCCATGCAACATGCAGTTTGTATTTGTGGAGTTCTTAATGTTTGTTTTCAGTTGTGGTTTGTTTAGAAACAGGGCCACTCAGGTTGGAGTGTAGTGGCTCAATCATAGCTCACTGCAGCCTTGAACTCCTGGGCCCCACTGATCCTCCTGCCTCAACCTCCCCTGTAGCTAGGACTACGGGTGCGTGCCACCACACCTGGCTTGTGGTGTTGTTTTTAAATTAATGCTACATTATTTTTTACTTGTAAGTACTTCTGGGCAAGTAAATGTTAGAAATGATTGCTGGCCATGCATGGCAGCTCACACCTGTAATCCTGGCACTTTGGGAGGCTGAGATAGGAGGATCACTTGAGGCCAGAAGTTCAGGATCAACCTGGGCACTATAGTAAGACTCCATCTCTAAAAAAAATTTAAAAACAAGCTGGGTATGGTGATGTGCACCTGTAGTCCTAGCTACCTGGGAGGCTAAGGTGGGAGGATCATTTGAGCCCAGGAGGTCAAGGTTGCAGTGAGCTCTGATGGCAACACTGCACTCCAGCCTGGGGAATAGAGTGAGACTCTGTCTCAAAAAACAAAAACCAAACAAAGGAAATGATTGTTTATCAGTAGCACACAAATTCGGTCAGGAATTATGGTGATGCTGAATAACTACAGTTGTCCACATAGGTGGCTGCAATAATAACACCTTTGCTTTCTGATGGTTCAGTGTATGCAAAGTTTTTTCAGACACAAAGTTATTATTACTATTATTTTTTAGAGACAGGGCCCTATTCTGTTACCCAGGCTGGAGCACAGTGACAAAATCATAGCTTACTATAACCTTAAACTCCTACACTCAAGGGAGCTTCCCACCTCAGCCTCCCAAGTAGCTGGAAAAACATGCTGGCTGTTTTAAATTTTTTGTAGCCACGTGGTCTCACTGCGTTGCCCAGGCCAGTCCTGAATTCCTGGCCTCAAGCAGTCTTGTTACGTAGACTTCCCAAAGCATTGGGATTACCAATATGTGCCACTGTGCCTGGCCCAAGCACAAATTTAATAAAAATATTGTATAAAATTACCTTCAGGCTATGTTTATAAGGTGTAGATAAAATGTAAGTAAATTTCATGTTTAAACTTGGGTGGATATAGGTAAATACTGCAAAATATGAAAAAAAAAATCCAAGGCCAGGTACAGTGGCTCATGCCTGTAATCACAGCACTTTGGGAGGCTGAGGCAGGTGGATAACCTGAAGGCAGGAATTCAAGACCAGCCTGGCCAACATGGTGAAACCCCATCTCTACTAAAAATACAAAAAATTAGCTGGGCATGATGGCAGGCACCTGTAATCCCAGCTACTCGGGAGGCTAAGGCAGGAGAATCACTTGAACCCTAGAGGCAGAGGTTGCAGTGAGCAGAGACTGCGCCATTGCACTCCAGCCTAGGCAACAAGAGCGAAACTCCAAGTTAAAAAAAAAAAATCAAAAACATTTCTGGTCCCAAGCATTTCAATTAAGGGATACTCAAGCTGTATTTGTTTAATGGCTACATAGCAGGCATACTGACCAGTCTGAGAGGGTCTTCCTTCAACATAAAGATCAAGTTCCTGCTGACATGAGACAGTGGGAGATGATAAAATTGTACCTTCAAAGTAAATGTGTAGCCTATATGCTGGCGATAACCACTCAGAAAATGTGACGGGAAAAATACCTCATTTACAGTACAGTGGCAGCAAAAAATCATAAAATTCTCTGGGTAGATTTCTTCACATTGTCCACAAAAACACATTCTGGATAAAGAGCTAAATGTAAGAAAAAAACCCCACAAAGCTATAAAGTGCTAGAAGAAAAAAATTGGAGATTATTTTTATGATCTTTGAGGAGGAATGAATGACCTCCCTAAGCAAGAAACAAAACCCAAATCACAAATGAAAAGATCTAACGATATGACTGAATAAAAATGAAAAACCACTGTAAACAAAGACAAATGACAAGCAACAGATGAAGAGGAAATATTTACAATATTTATAACAAGCAAAGGATTAATACCCACAACATATAAAAAAAAATTTGGCCAGGCTGACTCCTGTAATCCCAGCACTTTGGACAGCTGAGATGGGTGGATCACCTGAGGTCAGGAGTTCTAGACCAGCCTAGCCAATGCGGTGAAACCTTGTCTCCACTAAAAATACAAAATTAGCTGGGCGTGGTGGCAGGCACCTGTAATCCCAGCTACTCAGGAGGCTGAGGTGGGAGAATCGTTTGAACCCGGGAGGTGGAGGTTGCAGTGAGCCAAGATCAAGCCACTGCACTCCAGCCCGGGCAACAAGAGTGAAACTCCATCTAAAAAAAAAAAAAAAAAGAAAAAAAAAATTCAACAAATAAATATAAAAAACAAAAGCAATTCAATTAAAACAATGGACAAAGAATATGAACCAGCCAATCACATAAGAAATCCAAATTTTCATTGGGCATATGAACAGACGATTTTAGGGAAATAGATTTTTAGTTGTGGTTTTCAGATTTACGCTCAGCTTTAGAACCATCCAAACAAGAGTATTAAATCATAGGCTGCATTATCTGCCTTTAGAAAGTAAAAATAAAATCATAGGCAAAGGGTGGTCTTCAGGGAAGTGAGCTTTCCAAAGAGTTAGAAAGGTACAGGCAGAGTTATTGTTCAAGGACAGCTGAACATGTTAAGTATGTTTCAAGAGCCAGGAGAACACAAGGTTGATAACATCACTGTAAACAGAAACATGGCTGTGTGTGTACAGGTCTTCTTAAAAGGCAGTAAAAACCCTGGGTATAGTGAGATTAAAGCATGGAAAGGCTTGAACTTTTCCACCCCTGGTTTGACTCCCCTTGGATGTATAGTGTGCCCCACCCTGAGGCCTGAGGACCCGGGAAAGCTGCTTGGAGACATCCACCTTTGTTCCATGCAGCTAATCCACTGCTGATAAGATTTTATATTGTCAGCTAGTTAAATCCAGACCTTAATTTTTTCTACATTGAGTGTGTATGTTTTCTCTGTGTTCTCATCCTATTATCTGATAACTACCTGAAATGCTGCATTGTTTGTCCTAATTAATCTGAGAAATGCAAATCAAAATGCGCTACAACAAGCCTAAATTAGAGTACATCTATTTTTGTTTAATTGATCAGAGAAATATTTAAAATACCTTTTTTTGTGTGTGTGACAGAATCTCGCCCTGTCACCCAGGCTTGAGTGCAATGATCAGGCTGTTCTCAAACTTCTGACCTCGTGATCCACCCGTCTTGGCCTCCCAAAGTTCTAGGATTACAGGCATGAGCCACTGCACCCTGCCTTATAATACTTATAAATACCCAATGTTGGCAAGAGGTAGGGTAAAGTACATTCTAATAAGCTGTTGGTAAGAACATTATTAATAAAACCGTTTGGGGATCTAGTTTGGCAGTATCTCTTAAATACAAAATGTTGGTTCCCTTTGACCTAACAATTAAAATTTAGGAATATGTGAACATTTTTTATGCCACATGGATGAAGATTTTCTTGCAGTGTTATTTTTGTTGAAAATCAGAAGCAACTTAAAAGGGCCATTAATAAGAAATGATGACATTAACCACAGCATATCCGTGCTGTTTAAGTTTATGTTCTCTCAGAATCAGACCTTGTAAGTAGGATTCAAGTGCAAGGTGTTTGGGAAGCGTGTAAGTAGGGAAATGAGGAAGTGATACAGGGAAGGGCAGGCAATCAATGAAGGGTGTATAATTAAGCTAGTTATAAAGATAAGCAACTAGAGTTTCATCTTTTATGGAAATTCCAAAAACAGTGCCAAGCACATGCCTCAGAATTAACCTAGCCAAGGGGTCAGAGAGCTGGAGTATTTATACTCCTACAACTTTTAGTCATTGGCTAAATGCTGTCTTCCAGAGACCTATTAATTCCCAAGTACTTCCAGCCAGCCAGCCAGCCATGGGCAAAGTAATTCCAGTGGCTGGAGGGAGCCCTCTAATAATGATATGGTTTGGCTCTGTGTCCCCACCCAAATCCCATCTTGAATTGTAATCTGATTGTAATCTGAGATTGGGGTGTGGCCTGGTGGGAGGTGATTGAGTCATGGGAGCAGACTTCCCCCTTACTGTTCTTCTGATAGTGTTCACATGAGATCTGGTTGTTTTGATAAGTGTCTGGTGGTCCTTCCCCGCCGTGGACTCTCTCTCTCTCTCTCTCCTGCTGCCATGATTGTTAGTTTACTGAGGCCTCCCCAGCCATGCAGAACTGTGAACCTTTTTTGTTTATCTCAGGTATTTCTTTATAGCAGGGTGAAAATGGACTAATGCAAACAAGATGGAGGGACTGGCCACTGGAAGTCAGGCTGTTACATGTGGAAACGGTAAGAGTTTCTAAGAGGATACGTGCATAACACAGACAGCGTCTGCTACACATGCTAACAAATACAAAGAGGCTGTTAAGAGGAACAAGGCATCCATGCAACAAGCTGGACTAAGGAGCAAATAGTTAGATATCAAATGCTTCTATTTTTTTTTTTTTTTGAGACCGGGTTTCTCTGTTGTTTCCCAGGCTGGAGTCCAATGCCGCCATCCCAGCTAACTGCAACCTGTGCCTCCCAGGTTCAAGTGATTCTCCTGTCTCGGCCTCACAAGTAGCTGGGATTACTGGTGTGTGCCGGCTAATTTTGCATTTTTAGGAGAGACGAGGTTTCTCCGTGTTGGTCAGTCTGGTCTCAAACGACCTTAGGTGATCTGCCTGCTTCAGCCTCCCAAAGTGCTGGGATTACAGGCATGAGCCACCATGCCCAGGCAAAATGCTTATTTTAGCAATACAAATATACATCAAATTGTCCATAGTGGTTATCTCTAAAAAAAAAAAAAAACAGGCTGAAGGATGTGAATTTTCATTTTTCATTTTATACATTTTTGGGTTTTAGTTTGTTTTTGCAACAAGCCTATAGAATACTTTTTAAATTAAAAGAAACAAGAAAAAAATGAGAAAACATTTATGAGGAAATAAGAAAAAGGCAAGGAAACAGAAAATGCATTCATTAGTTTAGTCATTCCACAAATTTGTATGACGTGCCTTCTGCGCAGAGACTCCACATTAGGGACTGGCTACAGTGGCCAGTAAATACTTTCCTAATGAGTGTACTAGATGCAACCTAAGAATCACCTCTTGCAAGTTCTAGGCATTTGTGGAGAGTTAGGCTTTTTTCCCCCTTGAAATAGTCATGCCATTCCCAAAGCTTCTGAAGCTAAATGTTTATGCCTTTTGGAGGTTTCTAGGTCCAGTTAAAAGGGAAAAAAGCACAAAGCTTTAGAATACATGTGAATATGCTTTAAAAAGTTGAAAACACTATGTACATAGTAAATTGTGATTGTTTTCATATGTATCCTGAACAGAAGGGAAGCGTTCATTGACAAGTAAAAAGGGTGGTGGCTTTTTCATCCACTTGAGAATTTTAACTGTATTTTCCAGGTACAGTTCATAAGTGTTTGTGTTATGTGTTAGCAATTCTTCTTATTTCTTTTTGAGGCAGAATCTCTGTTGCCCAGTGCAGTGGCATGATCTCCAGCCTCAGTCTCCTAAGTAGCTGGGACCACAAGTACAAGCCACCATGCCCGGCTAATGTTTGTATTTTTTTTGTAGAAATGGGGTTTTGCAATGTTGCCCAGGTTGGTCTTGAACTTCTGAGCTCAAAGTGATCAGCCCACCCTGGCCTCCTCAAGTGCTAGGATTACAGGCATGAGCCACCACACCCAGCCAGCAAATTCTTTCTGGAAAACAAAAAAATTCTGTATTCCCCTTTCCTGAAATCAAAGATGCCAACTCTGTGGAAAAGATGAATGCATATGGAGAGCCCCTTTTAGTTCTCAGACATTGACCTCTACAACTTTTGTTATTTCCTGTTGAAAACCTTAAGAATTGTTTTTGGCTGGGCACAGTGGCTCACGCCTGTAATCCCAGCACTTTGGGAGGCTGAGGTAGGTGGATCACCAGGTTAAGAGATCCAGACCATCCTGGCTAACATGGTGAAATCCTGTTTCTACTAAAAATACAAAAAATTAGCTGGGCATCATGGCATGGTGCCTGTAGTCCCAACTACTTGGGAGGCTGAGGCAGGAGGATTGCTTGAACCCGGGAGGTAGAGGTTGCAGTGAGCCGAGATTGTGCCATTGCACTCCAGCCTGGTGACAGAGCGAGACTCCATCTCAAAAACAAAACAAATCCACCTGCCTTGGCCTCCCAAAGTGCTGGGGTTATAGGCATGAGCCACCATGCCCAGCTGAAAACCTTAAAAATTTAAGAGGGGGTATCTGTGTGGCCTTGGGTGAATTGCTTCAACCCCTTTGCTCTTCAACCTCCTCATTCTAAAGGTGGGGATAATAGTGGACACTCACAGGGACATTACAGGACCAAGGGGAAAGTGGAGGAGAGCACAATGCAGAGCCCAGAGCAAGTGCTCAATTTGTGTTGGGCCCTGTCCTTTCCTGCTGGCAAGAGCCCCTTCCTGATCTCAGTAAAAAACTATCAAAGAAGCTCCTGAATGAGTATTGCCCACCTTCTGATGAGACCTCTGTAGCAGACAGACTCTAAGGTGACTGCTGATGGCTTCCTGTCTCCTCATGTCCACACCTCTGTGTAATCCCCTTCCCTTAAACCAGAGATAGAACCTGTGATGTGCAAAGGTAAAGGCGTGTCACTCCCTTAATTAGGTTACATTATATGGCAAGGCAAAGGGATTTTGCATTTTAACTAAGGTCTCAAATCAGTTCATTTTGCATTCATAAAAAGGGAGATTATTGCGGGCGGGCCTGATTTAGTCAGAAGAAAGCCCTTTAAAGAGTGACTAGGACCTCTCTGAAGTCAGAGAAACTCTCCCCACTGCCAATCTTGAGAATATAAGCTGCTATGGGGTGAGAGAACCTAACAGAGAGGGTCACAAGGCAATGAACAGTAGGCAGCCCCTAGGAGCTGTCAGTAGCCAGCAGGTAAACTGAGACCTCAGTTCTATAGCTGCAAAGAGATTACTTCTATTAAGAACCAGAGGGATCTTGGTAGTAGATCCTTCCCCAGCCAAGGTTCTGATGAGACTGCAGCCCTAGCCAACACCCAGCCTAATGCAGAGAACCCAGCTGATCCCCAGAAACAGTGAAATAATCAGTGTGTGTTGTTTTAAGCTCTAAGTTGTGCAACTTGTTATACAACAGTAGAAAACAAATACAATCTCCACCAGCTCTTCTGCTTTATATTGAGATCATAATAAAAAGAATTAAAAGGGTGATGAGAATAATGAAAGAATAGAAGGTGAAGGAAGAGAAATAGGACAATTTTACTGAATACTTATCAGGCACATCAGTCAAGGTCCTGAAAGGAGACAAATGGAACACTCAAATGGTAAAGTGAAGAGAATTTAAAATAGGAATGATATGCAGAAGTGTGCATAGGATTAGGGTGCTCAAGAAGGAATACTGAGGCCATTAGCGTCTCTAGATCTGAAAGAGTAAGAGGAGACAGCAGAGTTAACAGGACCCTTATGGAGCTTCTTTAAGGAAGAGGGCTGCCTGACAGTGGCTGGGGATGGAGGTAGAGGTATGCAGCCTCTGTTGAATTGGTGACCCAGCATTGTGAAAGCTGGGGGAATAAACACTCTGGACTCTTTCTTACTCTTCTGAGTAGCCAATGTCTTCTGCCAATAACTCCTTTGGATGAATCCAACTAGAAGCCAGAGAGCAAAGGACACTGAGTGATACAGTCTTAGAGGCTGGTCTCTTAGGGGCATAGAGCAGGGATGAAGAAATGGATATAGAATGGAACTGGAAGGGGAAATGAACAGTGATGAAACTTCATGGATTAGCTCATTGATTTTCATGACTTTTGGCACAGGAGAATTGAAGCACAGCAATGTTAAGTAACTTGCCCACGGTAAGGTAACTAGGAGGTGGTAGAACCAAGCTTGGAACCCAGGCAGATCTAGCCCTAGCACCTGGACTCTTTTTTTGAGACGGTGTCTCACTCTGTCACCCAGGCTGGAGTGCAGTGGTGTGATCCCAGATCACTGCAACCTCCACCTCCCTGGTTAAAGCAATTCCCCTGCCTCAGCCTCCCAAGTAGCTGGGATTACAGGCACACACCATCACCCACAGCTAATTTTTTTTGTATTTTTAGTAGAGATGGGGTTTCACCATTTTGGCCAGACTGGTCTCGAACTCCTGACCTAGAGCAATCTGCCTGCCTCAGCCTTCCAAAGTGCTGGGATTACAGGCGTGAGCCACTGCACCTGGCCAGAGCCTGGACTCTTGAACACTACAAACACAGTTCTCAGGACCCCATGTCTCCGCTGCCTTTCTATTCTGGGTTTTCCTTTGAAGCCAGATAATCCTTTCTCCTGTTGGCAACAGTGCAGGCCTGGCACCTCTTTCTTCTCTGTCTGGCTGCATTCACGTTATTGAAGTCAAATGCTAGCATCTTGCTTGTGGTTGACAAGAACGGACCCTCTATCGTCAACATGTGTGACCAGATGAGAAAAGAAACAAGCCTTTTCTCATGAGATTTCCAAACTAGTTGTTCGGGAACAAGATCAGAACTCTCCAATGTTTTAAGATCCATGAAGCATAGCCTTTGACATTTCCTCTCAGGCATCCCCAAATTACTTCAAAGTGTTTGTTCACACCTGGCAGGCGGGCAGGAGAGGCAGCGAGAAAGCCATCTGTGGAGATTTGCAGCCCTCACTTTCATCGGCAAAGCCTCCCCCTCTGAAGACATGATGAATTCAGCTATTTTGGGAGCAGGGATTATAGATGTGACCCGCCTGGCTCAGCTCTGAGTAACTGCCTAGAATTCTTGACAATAGCAAAAAGAAAGGAGAATGAAAGTTAAAAAAGAAAAAACCCTCTCAGTTTAGTTCACAAACTTGCCAAATGCTTGATTAGCTTCTTTATAGGTCCACAGTTCACTTTCTTCCAAAAAATGTCCCAGGAGAACAGCAAGGATATGGGATCTGGGGAGACAGAGGTCTTGGTTCTGGTCCCAGCTCTGCCAGGTTTTAGCAGTGTGACCTTGGGCAAGTCATTCATTTAGTAAACATTTATTGAGGGCTTTATCCTTGAGAATCATGGAAGTGAAAGACACAGTTCCTGCCTTCAGTGAGTTCACAGAAAATTGAGTAGAAAAAGACAGTGTGATAAATGCTAAGACAGAGGTCCCCTGAGAGAAGCCTAGAAGAGGGGAACCTAGCTCAGTCTGAAGGTGTGGGCAGGAAGTCTCCTAACCTCTCTAAGTTTCAGTTCCTCAGCTGTAAAACAGGGAGCTTTTATATATTTGTGAAGGGAGCTGATAGAATGAAATACACTTCGTCTCCTAAATGAAGCCTATTCAGTGACTCGTACCTATTTCTGTTTGTGAAAAGAAAGCCTGTCACTGATCCCCACTATCCCTCCACTCAGGATATTCTTTTTATTTCATTTTTTTTTTTTTTTTTTTTTTTGAGACAGGGTCTTACTCTGTCACTCAGACTGGAGTGCAGAGACATGATTTCAACTCATCACCCTCCGCCTCCCAAATTCAAGCAATTCTCATTCCTCAGCCCCCCGAGTAGTTGGGATTACTGGTGTGCGCCACCACCACCTGGCTAATTTTTGTATTTTTAGTAGAGACGGGGTTTCATCATATTGGCCAGACTTGTCTTGAACTCTTGACCTCAAATGATCCACCTGCCTCCGACTCCCAAAGTGCTGGGATTACAGGTGTGAGCCACTGGATACAGATGCACTCAGGACTCTTCAGAGAAAAGTTTCTTGCCTCTCCCTGCTCCTACCTCAGTTTTCCCCACACACACTATGTACTTTCCTGACTACCCAGATGATCCAGATGTATTAAGTACTTTCCATGTAAATGTGCTAGACTGAGAGAGATGAGATTTACTGTATTAGGAGAGGCAGGGGGCTGCCGGGCAAAAAGGATCAAAACTTAACTAGGCAAAACCAAGAACAAGGAAGAGAAGTGAGATTCGAAGGGAGGAGGACCAGGAAAGCTGGAGGCAAATTAGACCAGCTCCTGGGAGAATCCTGACCTGTGCCCAGACAAGAACATAGGAAATACCTGATGGCTTCAGAAGATCAGGACTGTTTGACTCTACACGAAGAGGAAGCAAAGCCAGCAGAACTGTTTCTTTTCAGCAGCCAGATTCGTTTAGCAAAAGCTCTGTCTTCTAAGGGAACAAAATCAAAATGAAATTAAGAAGATAACACAGACTTCTTGGATAATTAGGAAGATGATACCACTGCTTGCAAAGGCATATGCTTTCCTTCAAAGGCAAATCAAAAAGTGCATTTCTCATTCATTAATGCCTACAGGCACTCATTCACTTAGTGCTGGGCACTGAGTGGAATACAAAACTGTACAACACTCAGCTCTTGCCTTCAATTTTGTCCTAGTAAACTTTCCTTTTTTTTTTTTTTTTGAGATGGAGTTTTGCTCTTGTTACCCAGGCTGGAGTGCAATGGTGTGATCTCGGCTCACCGCAACCTCTACCTCCTGGGTTCAGGCAATTCTCCTGCCTTAGCCTCCTGAGTAGCTGGGACTACAGGTGTGCACCACCATGCCCAGCTAATTTTTGTATTTTTAGTAGAGACGGTGTTTCGCCTTGTTGACCAGGATGGTCTCGATCTCTTGACCTCGTGATCCACCCGCCTTGGCCTCCCAAAGTGCTGGGATTATATAGGCGTGAGCCACCGCACCTGGCCAAACTTTTCAATATAACTGTTTAAAATTTTTTTTGTAGAGATGGGGACCTTGCTATGTTGCCCAGGCTGATCTCGGACCCTTGGGCTCAAATGATCCTCCTGCCTTCGCCTTCTGAAGTGCTGGTATTACATGCATGAGCCACTATGCCTGGCCCTAGCAAACATTGACTGAGCATCTGCTCTGTGTCAGACACTGGGCTCCATCCCAGGATTTAACTAAATAACTGTACGTGGTGGCTTATGCCTGTAATCCCAGCACTTTGGGAGCCTGAGGCGGGTGGATCACCTGAGGTCAGTAGTTCATGACCAGCCTGGCCAACATGATGAAATCCTGTCTTTACTGAAAACACAAAAGTTAGCCAGGCACTGTGATGAGTGCCTGTAATCCCAGCTACTTGGGAGGCTGAGGCAGGAGAATCACTTGGACCCAGGAGGCAGAGGTTACAGTGAGCTGAGATTGCATCACTGCACTCCAGCCAGGGTAATAGAGTGAGACTCCATCTCAAAAAAAAAAAAAAAAAAAAAAAAGAAAGAGAAAAAGAAAAAAGAAAGAAAGAAAACGAAATAGAGCACAATTTCTTACCTTAAGGAGAAAATCTGGTGGATTTGCTAATAAAATGTCTTCACACTTCTAATCTTCTAAACATTGACTTGAACAGATATTATTCTTGCCTGTGATTCTGTCAGTTTTCTGGCCCTTGTTGGAAGAATAAATCCTCTGAATTTATTCTAGAGGCCTAGCAGTTCAGCTCTGAGCTTACAGTAGTTGTGACTGAGAGAGAAAAAAAAATGTTCTGTTTCCCTATCTCTCCCCTACAGGTCTAACAATGCACCTGGCTGGATCAGGAGCATCCACCTTTTTCTCCAAATGAAGTGTTACACACAGTGAGTCATTTTTCTGGCTTTTTAAAAAGCTTGATTCAACCCTCCAATTTCCCACCTTTCTCTTCCACCTGCCTTGTTTAATAATTAGGCTACTTAATAAATGTGTTTGATGAGGAGGAGGAGGATAGTGATTGTTAGGGCTTACAAGTCCCTGGGGAATAAATATAACAGTGTCCTAGGCAAGATTCACTATGTTCTGGGTTGTTCCCTGGGCATCTTGGGGAGTGAAAAGGCCAGAGGCCCTTCCTGCTTTAGGGTCCAGGTTTGACTGACCTTGGGTCATTCTGTCTCTAAGGGCCCTGGCCCTGCCAAGAAACCAGGTTTGGTTTCTATCTCTTCCTTTTGTTTCTGCTCCTAGTTTAGCTTTCGTTTTTCTAACTTGGATCTTTTACTAACAGCAGATGACCACTGCTTTCAAGTCCCTGCTGGGTTTGGAAGGTAGAGAGCAAACTAGACTGAGTGGAGGTGAGAAAAATAATCCAGGCCAGCTTGTGATGATGCAGAACAATCAGGAGGCCTCACTGGTGAAGTACATTTCAGCAGGAAGGCACCCAAGGCATGGACCCGGAAAAGAAGTGATAGGAACCTACCCACAGATGAGAAAGAAACAGAGACAGAGAGACAGATGGAGCTGCAGCTGGAGACCGACACACACACACATGTACAGGGGGCTTGTAGGGAGGAGGAGAGAGAGACTGATTTTCACAGAGACAGGCTATATAACCTGGGGGAAAAAGGAGTCACAGATGTGGGTTCAGAGTTCACCTTTGCCATTTACTAGCTTTATGTGACTTGCATACTACTAAGCAGCTCACTTCGCCTTCTCTAGCTTCTGTTTCCTTATCTGTACAATGTAGCTAATAACACCTATCTTGCATGATCATTGTGAGAACTAGTGATAAAATATGCCAAGTCACTTGCATGCAATAGGCCCTCATTTAGTGGTAGCTGTAGTTTTTTTTTTTTTTTGAGATGGAGTTTTGCTCTTGTTGCCCAGGCTGGAGTACAGTGGCACAATCTTGGTTCACTACAACCTCCGTCTCCCAGGTTCAAGCGATTCTCCTGCCTCAGCTGCCCGAGTAGCTGGGATTATAGGCATGCACCACCATGCCTGGCTAATTTTGTATTTTTAGTAGAGACGGGGTTTCGCCATGTTGGACAGGCTGGTTTTGAACTCCTGTCCAACATGACATGGTTTTGATCACCTGTCCAACTCCTCAGGTGATCCACCCGCCTCGGCCTCCCAAAGTGCTGGGATTACAGGTGTGAGCTTGGCCTGTAGTTATTTTTTGAGTACGTTTTATGTACTAAGTACTTAGCTAGGTTTGGGGGATATGGGTAGAAAGTGTGGTGTGACAAATAGGAATATCCAATGAATGGTCCCAATAATTCTTTTTGGGGTTGCCTGGCAGTGGGCTAGCTTCCTCTTTCCCCAAGAAGAGAGGCTGGCTGTGCCCAACTTCAACTTCCTATGGTACCAGAAGTCCTGAAGACACGAGCTGGGCATTTCATAGTACTTCTTAAGCTATGGGCCCCTAAGATGGTGCAGATGAGTGTCTGAACCCTGAAATACTGATCCCACCACAGCAAAGGCCCTCTCAAGTTGACCTATGAAAAGGAAGAGCCACCAGAGGTTCGTCCTCAGATGCTTGATGGTGCATCCAGCTGCACCTAAAAGGCCCACCTCTCTATAGGATCCAGGTAGAGCAGAGGACCTGGGTACCTGCACCTTTCTTGACTTTTACCTGCCAACACCAATTACCTTTTGTTTTAAATATACCTAATGGCTAGGTGTGGTTGCTTATGCTTGTAATCCCAGTGCTCTGAGAGGCCAAGGCAGGAGGATTACTTGAAGCCAGGAGTTCAAGACTAACCTGGGAAATATAGCAAGACCCTGCCTCTACAAAACAAATTTAAACTAGCTGGGTGTGGTGGTGTGTGCCTCTAGTCCCTGCTACCCAGGAAGCTGAGGTGGAAGGATCCCTTGAGCCCAGGAGTTCAAGGCTGCAGTAAGCTATGATTGAGCCACTGTACTCCAGCCTGGGTGACAGAGCAAGACCCTCTGTCTTTTCAGTTATCAAATAAACTGCTATTTCTTTGTAAGACCATATTGAAGGGTTTCCCTGACTGAGACATGTTCTGGAGAACTTCACCACTATTTACTGATGGCTCAAGATCATAGAACATTGTGATCAATTAAGAGCATGGATCTGAGCTCACTTTACAAACTGTAGGGTGCTGTAGCTAACAAAATGTCTCATGTATTATGATGACTACATTTATACAGAAGTTGATTGAATGGTTCTCACAGTGTTTTTGTGCAATACCTAGGGAGATATTTTGCGCTCTGGAGCAGGGGAAGAGTAAACACTGAGGCTGATATTGTAGGTTGCTATGTCTGCTGTCAAGTGCCTACCATGGAAGGAGCCTTTATAAAGCCTCAGTGTCCTTTTGCCTCTGAGTCCCTCTGTCTCCCAAACCACTTGGGTTATTAATCTGAGGTGGTTTTCTTTTTCTTTTTTTTTTTTGAGACAGAGTCTTACTCTGTTACTGGGCTGGAGTGTAGTGGCGCAATCTTGGATCACTGCAACTTCCACCTCCCAGGTTCAAGCACCTCCCGCCTCAGCCCCTCGAGTAGCTGGGACTACATGCATGTGCCACCAAGCCCAGCTCATTTTTGTACTTTTAACAGAGATGAGGTTTTACCATTATTTCACCAGGATGGTCTCCATCTCTTGATCTCGTGATCCACCCGCCTCGGCCTCCCAAAGGGCTGGGATTACAGGTGTGCACCACTGCGCCCGGCCTAACCTGAGAAGGTTTCTTAACCACATGTATTTCACCAAACCACCAGTGGGAGCAGAAATTCCTCTCAATTTCTCCCTGGGCATCCAGGGTCTGAGTGCAGCTCTCCCTGTCACATAAGGAGGGTTGACTTGGTGGAGAATATGGGGACAAGTATAGCATCTTCTTTGCTCCTAAAACACCCCTCAACTTAACATTTTGCTTCTCTCTGCTTCAGCTAACAGCTTGAGAAAAACCAAATTGGTGGTTGGCTGGTTGGGGTTTTTTTTTAACCTAACAACAAGCCTGGCTTAGAACTATTCATTCTTCAGCTCCCAATACTGTGTGTCTATAGATAAACAGGAATATATATTATCTACTTTTGTTTACTTCTCCCCAAATAGAAGTCCATTAATTTCCCAATATATTTTATGGAATGACTTGCCTATTGCCAGCACTGGGAGGAGAAATTAATCTTTAGTCCCGAGATGTTTAAGTTAGAAAATAATGGGAAATAGAAGAAATAGAAGGACTGAGATGACTCATTTATTTCAGATGCTCACCCTAAACTACTTCAGAAATGCCGGCCATGAATTAAAACCCAAATTCTAGAGGAATGACCTAAATCACACTTTACCAGAGAGACTCTTTAGTTCCTTAGAAAAAATTGCACTTTATGTCTAGAATGGAAGAGGTTGATGATGGCTTGAGTCAAGTAGCATGAACTTAACTCCATCTGATCTGGGGATAAGGAATCAATATTATCTCTCTAGAGAAGGCAGAAACCTCTTTAGAAGAAGATAAAGGGAAGCCACGGTCACATATAAGATACTGACATCCTGGGCTTGGCATGGTGGCTAACACCTATAATCCCAGCACTTTGGGAGGCAGAGGTGGCCAGATCACTTTTGGTCAGGAGTTCAAGACCAGCCTGGCCAACATGGTGAAACCCCATCTCTACTAAAAATACAAAAATTAGCTGGGCATGATGACAGACACCTGTAGTCCCAGCTACTTGGGTGGCTGAGGCAGGAGAATCACTTGAGAACTCTAGCCTGGGCAACAGAGCGAGACCCTGTCTCAAAAACAAAAACAAAAAAATAAAAAATCAGCCCGGCACAGTAGTGTGCACCTCTAGTCCAAGCTCCTCAGGAGATTGAGGCAGGAAGATTGCTTGAGCCCAGGACATTGAGACTACAGTGAGTCCTGTTCGCATCACTGTAGTTCGGTTTGGGCAACAGAGCGAGACTCTGTCTCAAAAAAAAACACCAAAAAACAAAGATACTGACATCCTATAATATGTTAGTGCTGAGAAAAAGAGAAGGAGAACTGGCTTGGGAAAAGAGCAAAGAGATCTTTTTTGCTCATTGAATCACAGGCCAAACATGCTCCCTTGTTTATTCTGTGGGGATCTTCCTAACTTAATTTTCCCAAGGTACAAATGAGGTGGCCCTACAGAGATACATTAACTGATTTTTCTATAAGGTGATCTGAAGTCTAGGGATCTCAGGATGCAATGCATAGTAAAGCTCACGATTGTGGTTTAGGAGACAATCAGGAGAAGATTCAGGTAAAGGAATAAAAAGTCTCTTTGTTGAAAGTTAGTAAGAATTCATATCTGACTAGCTATTGCAGGGAAGCAGCTAATCTTACAACATAATAGATGTTGTTAATAATGTTCATTACCTCCTTGGATGCCACCAATAAGTGACTTTCAATTTTATATATATATATTGTCCATGTTGTAAATTTGGCCTTGGAATTAAGAGGTTGGTAAAATCCTGGAACACTTAATAAGGGAGGTTGTTTACTTTGTATATAAATAAAGAGCAGACTTTGAAGGAATGAAGATTATTATGTGGGAACTCAAACTGGCATAGCCATTGTGGAGAACACAACGGAGTTTCCTCACAAAACTACAAATCAATGCTGGGAGCAGTACCTCCCGCCTGTGTCTTAGCACTCTGGGAGGCCAAGGCGGGTGGATCACAAGGTTAGGAGATCAAGATCATGCTGGCTAATATGGTGAAAACTCGTCTCTACTAAAAATATGAAAAAATTAGCTGGGCGTGGTGGCATGCGCCTGTAGTCCCAGCTACTCAGGAGGCTAAAGCAGGAGAATTGCTTGATCCCAGGAGGCAGAGATTGCAGTTGCAGTGAGCCGAGATTGCACCACAGCACTCCAGCCTCAGTGACATAGCAAGACTCCATCTCAA